TATACCAAGGAAGCTTTGTAATTGTTTTTTATCTTTGATTTTTTCAAGAAATTCTTGAAGCTTTTCTCCAATATGGGATTGCAATTGCAATTCTCCTTCTTTTATAAATAATCCTAAGAATTCTATTTCTGTTTTAGCTATCTCAGCTTTCTTTTGAGAAAGTGTAATACCATGTTTTTTCATAATATAATAAAATTTCTCAAGATGCTCAATATGTTCATCAATATTATTTGAATAAATAAATAAATCATCTACATATGCAATACAAAAATGAGTAATTGGTTTGATTACCTCATCCATTCTTCTTTGAAATATCTGTGGTGCATTTTTCAACCCAAATGGCATTACATTCCATTCGTATTGTCCTAAAGGATTGGGGGTACTAAATGCAGTTAGTGGTTTACTTTCTTCTGTAAGCATGATTTGCCAAAACCCTGACTTACAATCAAATTTTGAAAATATCTTTTTGTTCTGTACTTGTTTAATAAGAGTGTCCTTATTTGGCAAGTAGTATCCATCAAATTTAGTAACTTCATTTAATTTTTTATAATTTAGTAACTTCATCAAATTTATGTTTTCTAACCATAAAAGCCGGACTGCTATGTGGGCTTTTACTTGGCCTAATCAATCTGGTTTCTAGCAATTCTTTTATCTGGTTTTTAAATTATTTTTTATCATCAACACTATATTTCATAGGTTTGACTCTTACTATAGTATCTGGATTAATTAATTCTATCTTTGCCTTTACTTTATCTGTATTCCATTTTTCTAATGGATTTTCAGAATATGTTTCAGAGATTTATTTTTTCAATTTTTCTAACCTATTTTCTGTTGTCATTTTTAAGACTGTAACTGGTTTAAATTTTTCTGTACTCCAACATCCACCACGCTGGGTTGAAGAACTTTGATGTTTTATATTTCTGTATGCAATTGTAACAGCTTTATTTATTTTTGGTGTAAATATTTTATATGCACAAGGTGTTGTGAACATATACTTATCAATATATTGTGTAAATGGCGCATATTTTAATAGAAAATTTTGTCCTAATAAAATATCACATCCTATTGTGGTTGACATATATATTGTATCAACAAATACTTCTCTAAAGGAGATTAGAAAAGGTACTTGAGTAGCATACTTACTGTATATTATCTTATTTTCACCTGCTGTTGTAGCAGTTACTACCTTCTTTGAATTATATTTCCAGTATTCAGATGGCAATAAATTTGGTAAGCATAAGCTTATTGTACTACCTGTATCTAAGTAAGCATGAAATTTAATTCTACAATAATCTTTTATATTGAGTGTAATTTTAATATATAGACTCATGGGATTAGTACTTATTACTCTTTCCATGATAACAATGATTTCATATTTTCATCTATTCTTGGAATGATAATTGGATTATCGTCAACTGTTATTTTCAAATATCCTTGGCAGATTTTATAAGGATTATATTTCTCAAGAAAGTTCATTCCTAGCAGAATAGGTGAACGATCTACTCCATATAATTAATCTTTATATAGAATTATTTCTTTGGTATATTCTTTCTGATCCTCTCCTACAAGTATTAGGGGAAATTTAACATATTTTCTTAGTTCAAGGTTATTTCCTAAATAATCCTTAAATATATATGGTTCTGGTATTTCAAAGTCTATTAAATGATTAACAAACTTGGCATTTACATGACTTTTATCTGCTCCAGTGTCTCTGAGGACAAGAAGATTTTTCTTAAATCCTTCTTGGTTTTCGTATCTTGTCTTAATGTAATATTGTGAACTTGATGGTTCGGCAATACTTAAATTCTTAAGTCTGCTTATCCTAGAGTCTTGTCTAGAGGGAAATCTTGCAATAAGATTGTCTCCTTCTAAGCTGACACTATTTCTTCTTATTAATTTTCCTTCAGAATTAATTTCTCTAGTTTGTTTATGGAAATCTAGCATTATTCGTTCTGGTATAGTAATTTCTGTTCTTGGTATTTCCTAGGAGGTATATATTGTGCTAATTCATCAAAATCTTTATATATGATAATGTTATCAGTTATTTTCCTTAGATTGTTATGATGGCTAGTACTAAAAGCAAAAATTGATTTTATGCTTATACTAATAGCCTTACTTTTTCTTAACATTTTCAAGTTTTCAATTCTATAATATAGATTGAAATTTTGGTCAATATTTTCATCACCTAATGATATTGCATAATTTGGATTTACTGTAAATATTATCTTTTGATAGACTAAATTTCCTACAACTGTTCCTAATAGAGCATCTATAGGATCTTGTAAGATTCTATTGTCCATACAGTATATTTCTATTGGTATGTTCATACCTTCTCTAAAAAATCCTTTTACCATTATCTGGACTACTCCTAATTCAATACATTTTAATTTGTTTCTTACGTTTTCTGGGATTTTGGATAGTTTTTGTTTTACCCATTCTTTTGTGATTATAGGAATTCTTACTTTTCCTATAGTATCTTCTATGTTGATAGACATTTCTTTATAATTCATACTTATAATTGTTTTATTTACCCTTGGTAAAATTCCTAAAAATCCTTGATGGAATACATCTTTTTCCTGTAGATCTAATATCTTCTTAGTAATTCCTGCGTATTTTTTAATATCAAAAGTAATCTCTTGATTAATTCCTTCTATAGAATCTTCAACTTCTTCAGTTGTTTCTATTTCTATTTCTGATTGTTGTATCTCCTGATTCATATATACTATTTCCTCATAATCTTCTTCTGATGAAGATGTATCTAATTCATAAATACTACTACATTCACTGCTTAAATCTTCAAAATATTCAATTGATTCTATATCACTATCTTCTTGGAATTTTTCATAAATTCTAAGAGTTTTTATATTTTGTCTATCTTTCTTTTTAGGACATTGAAGGGCAATATGTCCTTCTTCATTACAAATAAAACATCTACATTTTTTAATATTTCTTGGTTTAAATTTCTTATTCCAATTTCTTTTCTTGAAATATTTTTTATGTGGTTTAAAATTCCTTTTATTGAATTTTTTATAGTTTTTGAACTTCTTTTTATATTTCTTATATGGTTTATATTTCTTCTTATGGCATCCAAATTGTTCAACTTGGCCATTATCTTTATAACAACATAATGAATTCTTTCTTATTTTATAAGCTTTCTTATTTTCTAGTGCTTCTCTGCACCACATTCCTATCATTCTTCTTGTAAATTCAATTCTACTTTCAAGACTATCTATTTCAATTCCTTCCTCTTTTCCTAGAGGTAGTAATTTCTCATATTCTTTTAGTAACTTGATTCCCCATGGGAACGGTAACTTGATAAAATAAGACCTTAAAATAGGTATATTTTCCTGATAGTCTCCTTGATTAAGTATATAGTATAATTCTTCAAATTTACATGTATATCTTTCTAACTCACACATATCACATATCTTTAAATTTTCCATTAAAATCATTCCTTGATTATATTCATCTTGCTTTCTTTCTTCTTCATTAGAAGCATACCTATCTTCTAAGAATTCTGTTCTTAAAATTTTTTCAAATTTTTTTAAAATTTCCTGTATATTTTGTTCATTTAGAGTATTCCTATTATCTAATACCTCAGTTCTGTTTGTTTCATATTTTATTCTTCTTTTAATAATTTCTGGTAACTTTCTCCACCATTCAGAAACAATTCCTCTGAATGTATGTTCTATAAATTCAAAAGCTGTATATGTTTCCCATTTGTTAAATTGTATAGCTAAATCTGTACTTTTTATCCATGTTTCAATAGATTTATCTTTATCTACACAATCTAAATCTAACCATACTCCTGTTGTGTGGATTGGTTCATTATAAGATTTCATTGGATTTATTTCTTTTATGGATTGTTTTCTTATATTTCCAGTGTATCTTTTCTGTGTTTTTCTATATTGATTAAGACCATCTTTAAGTGGTATTGTAGTACCATAAGGATAGTCTTGTTCTTCATTACTACTGAATTCTACTTTTATATCATGACTTGAAGATGGATTAGTATTCATTTTTATATTTTCTATTTTTTCAGTTAATTCTTCTAACTGTTTTTTATATTCTTCATACTCTTCTCCTGTTGATTCTAAGAATTTTTGTTCTATCTCTTCTACATTTGTAATCATATATTATTTTTCTTCATGCTTTTTTCCTTTATTTTGTGTTATTCTAAAATCTTGGGGTGGATTAATTATAATCCTATCTTTTCCTCTAAAATTTTTATCTAATAGGGCATTTCTTATTTGTAGATTATATTCTAGATTCTCTAATCTTTTATATATATCCCCAAAATTTTCATTTGTGGTATTCTTAGGTAAATAAGGATAATTAGGTTTTTTATGTTTTTCAACTTTTTTCAAAAATTCTTCTATTATATTTTCTTCATCTATTATATTCATCATAATTTTCGGTTCGTAACATGTCTCTGATACCATCTCTTCGGAGTGTGCAGCGGAGGGGTTAATATTTTTAAGCCAATTAAAATCTTCATAAGTATTTATAATATCACAATAAAATTTATAAAATTCACTATTTTTTATTAATACTCCTTCTTTAATAATTTTATTTAGTTTTTTAATTCTTCTTCTCAGATTAAAAATTAGTTTATATATATCATTTTCTGTTTTGATTGTATTTTTATCTATAGAAACGTTTTTATTTTTTAATTTTGGATCTAAATATTTTGTAAAGAATCTTTTCAGATCTTCTTGTAAATAGTTTAATTCACTTTCTGTTGCATTTTTTAGATCAATAAAATTTTGTATTATATTTGGATTTAAATTTATTAAAGATTTATGATCTATATTTTCTTAAGAACCTATTTGAAGGTTTTTATACATTGTAGTGACTTTGGTTACAATTTCTCTATAAGGGGTATTTTGGAAAGATAGTTGTTTGAAAGCTATTTTTCAAATATTTTCATTTCTTAGACTAATTTCAAAAATCTTCCTATTATATAATAGGCTGTTTAGTTTTATTTCCCGTTGCCAACCCTTACTAATGCTCAACTTAACGTCCATAGTCCGCAAAAGACCCCAAGAAAACATACAAACCAGTTCTGGATATGGCGAAGCTTATAACCAATTATAAGTTATAATCCGAAAGGCTCAATTTTTAATAAAAAGATGTGTTGTTCTTGCGGTTTTCCTTCGACACTTCACTCTGTAACTTAGCAAATTTTCATCTGTCACTTACTCCGTTCCGCAGGTAAAGATTCTATCTTTTATTATTTTTTATTATTCCTATACTTTAGAAAGGTCTGAGAAAATGGGTTTTTTTGTGAGATAGATTGAGTTTCTATGGATTTTATTTTTATCAGATTTGCTGGGAATTATGTAGTTTTATTCAAGGATATTTTAGCTTAGTTACGGGAAAAATGGAGTTTTATGTATTAGATTTTTATGCAATTTACTTTCAATTGTCTAATTATCAGTTTATTCAAATTCTTGTGGTTTATCAAGAAAATAACATATGAGATTGCAGTTATTGGGCACTTAATTTTGTGATTTTAATGAAACTAAAGTTAAGGTTTTACAATTAGAAGGAAGACAATAGCAACAATTAACACCTTGAGTTTCTGCACTTCCACTAAAATTTCATTATTTTTTTCTCCAGGAATCAAACAAAAGGAATTCGTCTGAATCATTTTTCTTACTGTTTAACCAATCAAGTTTGTAATTTTAAATTTCTTTGATCTTGTTCGGTCATTATCAATAGCCAATTGTCAAACTTGTATGGTGCTGTTCCTCAAATCTATTCACTGTCCTTAGATCTCTACACTTGAGGCCCCTTTGAACTGGCCTGTAACATGACATAATCCTCAAAGCTGTGACAGGCTTTGGCTCCTTGTTCAAAGAAAATGGCATGTAGAGTTCAACACTCGATGCAAAACAGCCTCTGGTTCTTATCATCTTCTCGTTTCTACAGTACGATACAATCCCAAAATGTCCGGTCCAAAAATCCAAAGTATTTTTGCAAGAAATTGCTCTCGTCTTCTTCTTTCTCGAAAGGAGTTCGCCATTGCAGTGCTACTGCGAGCTATACAGATGCAAATATTAATCATTCAAATGCAGAGTCATTTGTACTCACCACTCCACTTTATTATGTAAATGCCCCTCCTCACATGGGCAGCGCTTACACCACCATAGCTGCTGATGCCATTGCTCGTTTTCAGGTAATACATCTGTGAATTGGTGTGCTATTTTGAGAATAATCCATGTAATAATTGAAAATTTTAATTTCTGAGTGGTTCTTTAGTGATATGGCTGAGTGGATCTTACATGGGCTACTTTGTTTAACTCTTTTTGTTGATGGCAGAGACTTCTCAGGAAGAAGGTTATATTCATAACCGGCACAGATGAACATGGGGAAAAGATAGCTGGCGCTGCAGCTGCCAATGGTTCCAGTCCAAGGGAGCACTGTGATTCTGTTTCACAAGCTTACAAGTTACTTTGGAGAGATGTATAAACCTCCATGCATTTAACTGTTGTGAAAACTTCAATTATAGTGATGATATTGTTTTTTGATTATTTATCTTTAACTCGTTCATTATGGCAGTTAGACATTGCTTATGACAAGTTCATTCGAACGACTGACTCAAAACATGAAGCCCTAGTGAAGGAATTCTATTCTAAGGTTCTTGCCAATGGTGATATCTATCGGGCTGATTACGAGGGATTATACTGTGTGAATTGTGAGGAATACAAGGTGATGTCCAATGTTTAAACAAGCAACTTTTTTTGTCCTATTTATTGTGTAGCCTATCTAAGTTGAATGTAAAGATGGCTAAAAGAATAGTCTTCTGGCATGATTTTATACAATTTGAGATATTATGCGACATGTTTATTAAAGTCTCTTGAAGAGGTGATAAATTGATATGATGTGATTCTGAGTCTCCTATAAATGAAGTTATTTTTGAGACTACTAATTGAATGATTCATGTGTCTGGATATTATAGATGGTTTGTGATATCGGGTGGTAATATGTTACAACTCAATTAAGGCCAGTATGACTGTGATTCTCTGTCCTTAGTGTACTTCCTTTTGCCTCATTTTTCTTGTCTCTTTGTTCTTTGCTTGTAAGAGTTTGTCACATTTTCAATTTGTCTATGACTGCTGTAAATCTGGACTGTGATTATATTCTTTCAATAGACTTATGGGAGAAACCCAAGTAGGGAAAGGACTGGAAGAAGAGGTGAAAGGAACTGAGAGGACCTCATAGTAGATCGATATGGCATTTTGAGTGATAAGCAGAATGGGATTACATCTAAGAGTATGATATATGTCCAGCTTTTATTATTAGTTTTGAGATGTGGAAGGCTACTTGTATCACCTAAGCTTAGCCAAACACGAAAATAGAAACCATGTATAACCTATCGGTTAAATTGGAGAATGTTACACACAAGGAACACAGTTGTAATATAAGTGATCAATCAAATAAAGAATATGAGCATGTATGTTTGTTTGAAGTCAGCTTTCTAAATGTTTGCTGCACCATATAACTAGATATTTCTGTTTCCCCTTGTTTAGTTGCTTTAATCTTATAACCTTGTCCTAATGAAACCTGTAGGATGAGAAAGAATTGTTGGAAAATAATTGCTGTCCCATGCACTTGAAGCCATGTGTTCGAAGGAAGGAAGACAATTACTTCTTTGCCCTATCAAAGTATCAAAAAAGGTTGGAAGATACTTTGACAGAAAACCCGGATTTTGTCCAGCCGTCTTTTCGTTTGAACGAGGTTAGACGATGTCCTGATCTGCACCATTCTACTGAAATTGTTACTGCTTTTTAGTAGTATCTTTTAAGCATTTAGTATCTATGTTCCTGTCTTTACAAGATTTATTGTAGCCTCACTTTCTCTCTACATGAACTTCCATAGGTGCAAGGTTGGATCAAAAGTGGCCTGAGAGATTTCTCCATTTCACGAGCATCAGTGGACTGGGGCATTGCAGTTCCTAATGATGATAAACAAACTATTTACGTATGGTTTGATGCTTTGTTGGGGTAATATATCAATTCTATGACTGCTTCTAACTCATTGCGTATGCCATAATCCTAATCTTCTCTATCATTGCTTTTACATTCCTAATCTAGTAACTATCCTAACACAGTGGAGGATCATGACTAATTTTTTTATTAGATTCTTTTTCTCTCTTCTTGTCAAGCAGTTATATATCTGCTCTATTGGATGATAAGGAGAAACCTAATTTACAAACTGCCATTTCTTCTGGTTGGCCTGCTTCTCTACACTTGATTGGCAAGGTATTCTTACTACTAACTCTTCAGACAGAGCGTTGTCATTGTTTATATTTTTTTTTCTCGGGATTTAGGGAAACAAGATGGTCAATTAGTATTCAAATGTCAACAGATTAACCTATCCATATATATGTAGAAACAAAGTCACTTTCATCAAACATGACATTGTGTCGTTGTTCTAGGTTGTGTTGAGGTCCTTGTGGAGAAAATTTATAAATCTTGAATGAAGCGTCAGTAAATGGTCTTTAACATGGGGACAGAGCCTAATTTGTGAGGCACTTGTTTAATAAATTTACCATCTTATGAGTAATGCCCTGCTTCTTGTCTCTTCCAATATAATGCGCCCATTCAGTTTCATGCCAGTAACTTTTCAGTGACTTTAATCAGTTAATTGCGCCCATTTTTTCTGTCTTTTCCTTTTCATTGGCAAAGAAGACATTCGCCTTTTCCTAATTGACTAGAAAAGTCATGGAGTTCATTTATATATTGCTTTTATATAATTGCTCTTTGACAAGTATTTGCATGCAGGATATATTACGATTTCATGCTGTTTATTGGCCAGCAATGCTCATGTCAGCTGGACTGAGCCTACCGAAGATGGTTTTTGGCCATGGATTCTTGACAAAGGTATCTAAGTTATTTTTTCATCTTTTACCATAAACCTTGAAAGATTGCTTATAATACGGTTTCTATCTATTTTCCGTTTGTATAAAATACAGTTCATTTGCATGCATTTACTATTTTTCTCATTTAATATGCTTTACTTAACTAGCAATGCTTTTCATTTGTTAGGATGGCTTGAAAATGGGAAAGTCACTGGGAAATACACTTGAGCCGACTGACTTGGTGCACAGATTTGGCTCTGATGCAGTCAGGTACTTCTTTCTCAAGGAGGTGGAATTCGGTAGTGATGGGGACTACTCGGAGGACCGTTTTATCAATATTATTAATGCGCATCTTGCGAACACAATTGGTATTCTTCCTCATTAATTTTATATGCCCAATTGCATTTCAAATTCATATTCGTTTAGATTCTTGTGTATGTTCATTCACTTGTCTGCGAGAAAAGAGTCTGTTTGTATGCACCTGAAAGAGAGTTATAGTAAAAATTCAGTTTCCTTATGAGTTAAATTATCATTTACAATGAATAATGTAATTTTTCTGTTTTTAATGATAAATTTTTTATGTACTTCGGAATATATTTTTAAGGTTGTAATAGCTATTCTCTAAATACCATAACGAACAAACAAGGGATATTCGTGTTAGGTTCATTCAATTCTTTCTAACCAAGCTGAAAATTGAGCTTTATATGCAGCCCTAGCATTTGGCAGAGAATGATAATATCTGGATGACAATCAAAATAATCATTACAGTTTAAATGCAAGCAAAAACTTTAGATTTTTATGCTGGGAGTCTAACTTTAGCTTTATCACAGGGAATCTTCTGAACCGTACACTTGGACTTTTGAAAAAGAATTGCCAATCAACTTTGGCTACTGATTCAGCTATTGCAGCAGAAGGAAATGCATTGAAGGATACGGTCGAGAAACTGGTAAAGTTTGCATATGAAAAATCTCACTCTTCTTTGTTGGGAAAGGGACACGTGAGCTAGCTCCATAATACTACGAACCCTATCATTAATTTCTTCTCTTAATATACAATACTAGGTTTCTGAGTAATTTTTAACTATCATTTTTGTAGGCCGAGAAAGCCAGAAAACATTATGAAAACCTAGAGTTGTCATCAGCTTGTGAGGCAGTTCTAGAGATCGGTAATGCTGGGAATGTTTATATCGATGGACAAGCACCATGGTCTCTTTTTAAGCAAGGGGGTTCTGCCTTTGAAACTGCAGCCAAGGTTTCTTCTTTCTACTCTTTTCTGTATATTTCATGGAACCTACGCATATTCACGTGTAAATATGCATTGCATGATGGTGGGTTGTTTCTATGTATGCAATCGCTTTCTCATTAAAATTCGGAATGTGTTAACTTGAACTTTGTCATTTGTTTCTACACTGATAATAACCTTTTGTTTTTCGAATAGGACCTAGTGATTGTATTGGAAGCATTAAGGATCATAGCAATTGCTTTGTCCCCAATCACTCCAAGTTTATGTTTGAGAATATACACCCAGCTTGGTTATTCTGAAGACCAGTTCAATGCTGTTACTTGGGTTGCTCTCTCTCTCTCTCTCTCTCTCTCTCTCTCTCTCTCTCTCTCTCAGTGCATGCAGATGCGCACGCGTACATATGCTGTAAGTATAGGACTGATGATTTATTGTTCTAATTTGTTGCAGAATGATACAAAATGGGGTGGGCTGAAGTGCGGTCAGGTCATGGCGCAACCAAATCCTGTTTTTGGTAGGATTGAACTTGAGACTGAAGCGAAAAATGCAGGGGATTCGACTAATAAAGCAAGTAAGAAGATGAACAAGACGCCGAAGACCCAAAAGGCAGTTGAAGCCTAGAAATTTTTGGTTCACCTCAGAGGATAGTTACAAGTTCTTTTAAGATTGTTTACACTGTTCATTTTTGTTTCAATTTTTTCCCATTTTGGATGTACATTAAAACCTTATTTACTTAATCTAGAAAGAATTATCAGCATTGTTGATGATATTCACTGTATTTTCTCCAAATCTCAACTGTTGCGAGTCGTGTTTTTTGTTCTATCTCATGAGCAAGTAAAACACAACGCTCGTTTTCATTTATCTCTGAGTTTACTAGAATGCCAAGGAATTCTTGGTGTCTGAGACAACTTGTTTCACTTTGTGCAAGATTGTGGACTGGCAATTGTTTACATTCAGCTAGTGGTGTAAAATGGATGGGGCTGGGCAGGTCTAGTACGGGTTGAGCCAGACCTGTGAAATGTCAAATTTATTCCTTCACTATATAAGGTGTCTTTTTGAACATTCTGGTTTCCCAAGTTATACAAAGAATTTCATGTAACACCACTATAACTACATACAAATATTGAGTTGGGTATAAGAAAAATGAAGAAATTTTGTTTATGTACAAATGCTCTCCCACTCTCCATCTATGTCTTGGCAGTCTCATGACATTCTCCTTGCTAAGTGGAGTGTATTCTTCAGGAAGTTATTCACAATTTTATCATTCCTATGACACAGTACACCCTCAATATGGTATTAGGGTTGGATCGATTGCATGGCCCGTTCGCTGGTGGCATCGGCAGCTTCAGCTCTACACCAGCAGCACCAAGTCCGCTGAATTCACAACCCATGATGCTAAAATCTTGGACTAATTGCTTGGTCGACTCAGTCATCAACAGCACCACCCATTCGACTATCTCGAATTCCTTTCCAACAACATCCTAGACAATCAACCCTTCTCCGCATGTACAAAATAAGCGCTTAATCGGTCGAAATCTTCCTCAATCATGGGATGATCTGACCTCGCATATGTTCTTGAGCAACCCCCAGCTAGTTAAAAAACCATAAGAAAGACCTCAAATGAAGCCGTCAGTAATTCTTTTAGCGCAATTGGTCACATAATAGAGTAAGATTCTGCTTAAGTGTGTTCAAATTTCAATGCTGGTGTAATGTGTGTATTGGATGCTCTACTCCAACACTGCATGTAGCTCTTTTCCACAGCTCGTGTTATAGGAAGAACCGTTTGAAGATAGCTCTGTTTTGATCCTTAAAAAGAAGCACAAGATCAACCAACTTTAACAATAGGAGAATATGAATCATAAAGTTTGACTTGCAATACGAGTTATACTTACCACATGATGCAACAAATGTAATGTAATGTACTCTAAGCTATCAGCAAGGTCATAAACTAAATTCTCTGATACGTCCACTGGGATTTCGAAGTTCTCCATAGCTTCCTTGGCAAATTTAATCAGGTCTATCGCAGAATTCAGTGGGACCCATCTATCAACAGATCTTAACTTTCCTTCCATCCACGTGAGTGTTATGTGTACACTTGGTCACCATGTTAGACTACACAAGATCGTACCTTCGATAGGGTACGAAAGTTGCATGCACTCTAATGCTCGAGTTAGACTATGAAGAATATATTTGGGTGTGGGAGAAACATAATGGACAAAATTATGCTTGTCAGTTTGAAGAGAGAAATTCACCTTAAGATTAAGATTGTAATCTTTCATTACCTTTTGGATGGCACTAGGTGTGGGTATTTATGGTCAAGAAAAATGAGTTGAGATCCATTGGATGGTTGACACGTGATCTCATTCCAATGGCTCATGATCAAGCTCAATTGTATCAATCTATAGCTACTCTAGGCATGTAGCTCCCATAGCCTGAATTTAAGTTGGAAAATTGTGATCTAATTGAGCAATGTTGTTGTAGAGCTGTCACATCAATCACTTTGAATTTGAGATTATTGGTAGTCTTCTGCTCGCTTGACTTTTTGTGTGATTTTTTGTTTGACTATCGTGATCTATCATTTGAGAAGAGGTGCAACATTAATATTTCCACATTTAAATTCAAACAGAGCAACTTCTTCCATCGGTTGGATAAAATAATACCTCAAGGATCAAGTGTCTCTCTCTCTCTCTCTCTCTGGACTTCATCATTTTCTTAAAAATTCAAATTTTTTTTTTTTTTTTCTGTAAACGGATGGAATCACGACATTTGAACTTTGGACCATCATTATCATAATTGGACCGGACTAACTCATCGGACCGCAATTACTTGAATCGGTTTAAGATTTGATACTACTGACTAAGTCTCTATGTTTCAATTTAGTTTTATTTTATTTATTTGAATTATGACAAACGGTAACAAATATTTTCTTTTTCATATTATGACAATGGGACCAATTGTCCAATGTGATTTAGTATATTCATTAAAAAATAATTCTTCATTTTAATTTAAATTAAAAAAAAAGAAAAAAGAAAAAACAGTATTGTATGTATCATCACCCGTTAAGAACTTATGTCAATCCCATTCAATGCATTCACGTCATCTGTCACAGGTATACAACAACGGCAGTTACTTCCTCTAATGTTAGAGAGGCTTGAGATGATAGATGTGGGTGATTAGAGAAGGCGGTGGTAGAGTTGTGACGTTTGATGGTAACGCTCATACACTTGCAATTAATAATGTCATTCACGTGCAAAATTATACTCGGTTCTTCCAAATTTCCCGTCTTGTAAAAATAATACATACAAATTAAGTGGGAAACGTGTTAAATTTTCTTGATTAAATCTTGACTAGATTTACACAGCAAACAATTCTAAAGGGTAACAAACACACCACGTTGTCGAAATAACATTCGCATATTTAGAAGCCAAATTTGTGGGCATTGACAAATTCGAAATGTCAAGTTGTGTTTCCATTTCACTATCAATGCAGCCAACAAACCTTTATTTGTACTTAGAGACATGCACTCTTGTCCTATACCCGTGATAAAAAATTGAATTGGATTGATCGATTCAATAAATATAAAAGGTTAAGATTATGATACCCATCAATATAATCCCAAAACCAGTTAGTTTACCTTAAAAACTAACCAATTAAACTATGCTCGACATCTTGATTTCGAAACTTTTATTTAATAAATGTTTGTGACGATGTTTAAAACCTTAGTCTTTACATTATTAAAACTTAGTATTCTGAATAATACTAAATTTTAATAAAATATGGACTCACCAAGAAAATAAGTAGATAGACTCCATCTTGGTGTCTCAATGGCTAGCCTTTTCACATTTTGAATTTTAAAAATTTTAATGGAACAAATTGTGTTTTTCCCTTTTCTTATCGACTCAAAAGTATAGTAATGTATCAAAATTTGACTCGAGAACAGTCAATGAGACAAGAAGGTGAAGTAGATAAATAAACACATATATATATCCAAAAACTAAGGAGTTCAGTCTACTTCAGTTTCTTCTGTGAATGCCATTCTTTTCTTTACACTCCTGTTTTCTCCTACTGTCATAGATAAGTATAGCAGGAATTGTGCTATTTGTACATAAAAATAGTACATAATGGATTACATAAAATGATGTGGAAGGAAAAGATAGGATGAAAAGGTTGACTATGTTTTAAATTGACAAATGATAGAAAAATATGTGGCATTGTGTAAATTATTATATAAAGCTTGATGTCCCACCCCCATTTTTTATGTATTAATTGTCCTGAGAGTATTAAAGAAGAGAAAGAAGTATCAACTTATGCAATGCTGGACGTGTCTCGATCTTTTTCTACTTCGATATATCAATGTAGCCTGGCCTACCTAAAGTTTAAAAAATCTTATCTTTATCAATGACATAATTTGGCATATTTGTTGTATATATACACCTAACTATTTCTCTTACATTGTTAAGTTAATGTAGTTAGATGTGATTGAAAGAGAGTCGAAGATGAAGAGAATGGCGGTGGTCGGTGCCGGAATAAGTGGACTGGTTTCTGCATATGTTTTACCAAAGCTGGTGTAGAGGTGGTGCTTTTTGAGAGGGAAGATTATTTGAGAGGCCATGCCAAGACTGTTAATGTTGATGGCACCAATCTTGATCTTGGATTCATGGTCTTTAATCGAGTGAGTAGTTTCTCTTCATTTTCATATGGGATCTAGTCAATGTTAAGCAATAATATCTCATTTCAAAAACACTGGGGATTTGGGTGGATAATAATATTTCTTCTCGTCTATCTTTTTACTGGCAACTTGTTTGGTATAACTTAAAAAGTTGCTAAAAGTTAAGATTAAAATCTATAATTAATTCTAACCACACATTTCATTGAATCGACAACTTTTATCGAAATATGCTAATTTTTTTATAAAAAAAACTTTGTCAAACAGCCCTTGGCTTCTCTTAAAGAGAGTCGTCTCTACTTCCCTACTTAGATGCTCTTTTGTTTCTAAGGGCATGTTTAACATTGAAAAGGTTAAAAAATAGTTTTTTATATTAACAACAAAGAATTTATTTAGTATACCACAATTTTTAATTTTTTTTCTTATTTACTTAAATAGCCTTATCTAAAATTACATAATTAGGGATGATATACTTTTAATTAATCACACCACAAACCTAAACCTAATTTCTTATTCTTCCCTATAATTACAAGTCTTGTGCCGTGATATTACATGTAAGAATTCATCAATTTGTTTAAGCATTCTTTATAAATTTTTTTTTTCCCAACTCGTTAAATCTTATAATTGTAAAATGCAATTCTTTAAAAGAACCATTCTTTTTCTCTTCAATCAAAATTCTTCAATTTTGGGAGTCCATTCCTCCATTCGCAAAGGCCATTTTATGTTACTGAAATCTTCACTCATCAAAATCTCCACCTCTATTTTCCTCCTCCTTTATAATTTTATTATCTCGTTACACATGTTTGTAATATTTCTCACATTTTTCTACAGATTGTTCTCTCGACCTGGCAATATTGCTGCATTTGGTGATCCATAAAAAGTTGCACCTTCCGCATGTCAAACAGTCGTCAAATTTGATTGCCTCATTCATTATTTTGCATGCTTTTAGGATTATCAGAAAAGTTTCAATTCTTGGTGATTTTATCACGCATCGATATGGGACATCTGAAAATTATATCAAGCAAAAATTTCCTTTAATTCCAAATAAATTGAGCGACTAGCAATTCTTCCCTTGTGTCTTCCATACCAGAGTGTTTTAAATCTTGAAATAAATGAAATTGAAAGAAATTAAACTGGATGAGAATGCGCCTGTATCTTCAAATTGAAGTTGGGAGTCAATAGCATTACAAAGTTTATAACATAAAACAAATGCCAACTCCACTAAACCCAAACTGGTACATTTACAACCTATCATCAAGTTTATGAAATGCAAATATAGGCTAGACGCTAAGGGAGCATTCAATAGGATAACCTTTGTAGTTAGGTATGTTTCATTTTGGTCATCAAAACCAAGAACAAGATACTTCATTCGAGGAGAGCACCAAATCAAGAACATGCTTAATGAATAAAAGTACAAAAGTCTAATGGAGAAAACCCCATTCCCTAAAAACTCCTCTCCATCCAGCCAATTTCTTCCTCCTAGTTAAACTCCAAATTCAAATTCAAATACACAGCAGTAATTTGACTTAAAAATCAGCCACTATATAACATCAAGTTGATCCAGTTTAGACCCAATTTCTATCCTCCACAGTACCACAGAATTTCTAAGGACTATGCCATAAGCATTCTCACAATTACAGCCAATTTCATCCTCCATGTCGACCTACAAAACTAGAGCACGCAATAGTCCAACTTATAGCTCCACGATTTCCAAATAGCCCAACTTATAGCACAAGTTACAGTTAGATGAGTCCTAGAGAGCACTGAAATGCAATTATTAATGCCATAAATTACTTGTAGTGAATTAACAGTAAACTTCAAATGGACTAGAAGTCAATGAACTAGGACAGTTATTCGAGAAAAGGAAGAGCAAAAGACAACATGAATGAACAAAAAAAATAATGTTAGTTCTTTGCCCTAAAAAAGAAACTTGTTTATTGATATCAGACTGATTTTCAGACAGTTAGGACAGTTTACTTCAATGAGAACCAATTTTAAATTCTACTCTATAATACTAACAGAGCACCAGACAGTTCATGTTGTGATTACTGGACCAACTACTCTCCAAGAGCGACAAACCAAACACGTCTACCATGAATCTTCATCACACTAAAACCTCGATGAAGATTGAGAGATTCCAGTTTGAAAGCTGCTTCAGCACCAGTTTCGGGGTACGCATCAAATTAACCAAGCCAAGTCCACTTTTATGTTCCATTCCATGCTAAACACGTACACCTTGCATTAAGCTTGTGTTTAGCTTGAGTGGACACTTCAGTTCACCCATCTTAGTACACGAACATCTCTACTCCTGTACAACACAAGGGCAAATACAGGGGGAAATTATTATGACATTGTCAAAATGTTAACTACCACTAAGATTATTGCTACCCACTAGGAAACTGATCTACCCGAGATTGCAGTAGCTCTACTTCTATAGATAAAAATGATACTCTTCGGCAGAAAATGTCCAATTAACACCAAGATTTTCACCACCAATAAGAAATTAAAGTACCCAAGATTAGATTCCCTATCAATAAAAGGTCAGTTTACAAAATTTCCTGTCTGATGACATTATACTAAGAAATATCATTGCTAACAGCAATGCAATCCATAAGGAACATCGTGATAGCAGTAGCAATGAAATACTACTGTCATGTAATAATCATGAAGTTTCCTCATCAGGTAAAATCTGCTAAAGTCCAGAAATTAAAACTAACTTCATAAGATTTCCAAATAACTCATCTTAACTCACATAAAAATTCCACATAAGCTAAATCTCAAACATTACGATAAGCCAAGACTCCAGATCAGCTAGCAAACATAGCTATAAGCAAGCCAGAATTTAAACTAAACTTAAAAGCAATAAAAAGTGAGGTAATCTCTAATCCTCAATAAGCACTACTTATTATAGGCTGAGCAAAATAAGTACGGTAATATACTGGTATTCAAGCAATCCAAACAGCCCCAATATGCCAGTGACGTCTTGCAAAAGCCACCTGCCATGCACCAGAAATGGGAAAGCCCTGATGGCAAAAACCTCCAACCAAGGATAGATGGAATCAAGTAGAAAAATCACTGCTGAGCCTGTCTAGTTGGAGCACTGCCATATCCACCACCATACCCAGCTTGGCTACCATGAGGTCCATTTGATTGTTGCCCATAGTTACCAGAAGCTTGTGAAGGGTCAGATCGCCAGCCTGAGTTTCCATACCCAAAACTACTACCAGCATCACTGTAGCCACCTCCCATATAACCCCCAGGACCTGCTTGCAGCTCCCCTGCAGGTGCACTTCCATTTGGGCCACTTCCTGTACGCCCACCGACAGCCCCATAAGCAGCAGCTTGGTTCCCATAAGTTCCATCACTGCCACCATATCCACCATAGCCATAACCTTGATTACCATATCCAGGACCTCCGCTTGGAGACTGACCACTAGTTACTCCACCACTACCAAGGCCACCGCCAGCACTAGGATTAGGGCTACCCCATTGAGAACTTCCATAGCCCATATTTCCATATCCAGAGGGAGCCTGTGAACCCCATGAACTTCTTTGGGCATTTGGAGCATTAGGATTCCCATAGCCTGAACCAGCACTTCCATAATTTCCATATCCACCATAAGCCATGCCATTATTGCCAGGACCATAACCATAACCGGAAGTATTATACCCAGATGGACCATAAGGTGGATATCCACCTCCAGCATTTTGAGATTGCATGTACCTGGAGGAATCCATACGACTATCTCCAACAGAAGAACCATACCCTTGATATCCTCCAACACTGCTGCCGCCAGTCCCACCACCCATAGAACGGCCACTCCCACCAGGATTGGCATCTTTTGGAAGAGCACGCTTCACTTCCACTTGCTTCCCATTTAGATCATGAAAAGTCTTGTGTAAAACCCTATCTACTGCGTCCTCGGAATCAAATGAAATAAAACCAAATCCACGAGGTCTGTTTGTCTGCTGATCATACATTATTACTACATCAGTTACAGTGCCGTAAGCTTCAAAATAATGACGGAATCCATCTTCAGAAAGAATTGGTGGCAATCCCCCAACAAATATCTTCTTTGTCCTAGTATTCCCAACACCTCCGAAGTTCCTAAAAGTATTAGAGTTTCCACCTTTTGAAACTTGTTGTTCCTCTCTTGATAAAGCTCTCTTTGCCTCTACCTATTAGGACAAAAACTGTCTCCTGGTCATGATGGGAGGATAAAAATGACACATAAAATACAATTCTAAATTTCAAATATATGTAGGACGAGATTGAAATCACGGGCACCATTCAGGTTTAAATTTCTCATGAAAAGGCATAACATTAAATTATCAATAAGAGGAGAAATTCAAAATTTTCAACGGATAACAACATATTCAGTTATTGGAGAACAGTACTCTCTCTCTCTCTCTCTCTGTAACATGGACCTAACATGAGTAACAATAAGCCAGTAGAAGAAAGCCATACGGCCCATAACAAATAATCAATTTGATGCAACACAACATATTAATGATAGTTGCATGACCAGAGATTAATTAGCAATTCTACCCTGATAAATAAACTACGGTCCACAAAAACATGCCTAATTCCCAACAAAACCCAAAAGATGTGATCAGTTGAAGGGGAAAATGATCCAAAATTGGAATCCAGAAGGTGAATTTGTGTGCACAGATACAAGTTTGAAGACCAAATTGAGTCCCAAGTTATAATTATATGTGCACGGTCACGCTTGTATGAATGCTGATTTTTGCATGTGTGCACATCTCTGTCTGCACCCACCCGTGCTTGAAGGCTGATGATATATATGGAGTTGGGGTTAACTGCTGTGATAGGATTCTTAATCTTGTACGGGCGAGTGGAAGAGACAGAAGAAGAAAGTGTGGTGGGTGCATGGGACAAAGCTGCAGAGAAGAAGTATTTTCTTATCTGCCTCATTGTTCTTATTCTCTTTCCTCGAACTGTTTATCATCCAGAGTTATAATGCTCAAATGTAGATAATTTGATTCCAATTCCTATTCAAACCAAAAAAAAATATGTATAATTTTGACTTTAAATTCTTTTTGCATCTTCAAAGTGTAGCGGGGTTTTTACATTTCAAATCCATAACAAGGCTAATCCATTCTGATTTCAATAGTGAATTAAATGATATCGAAAAATAAGCAAAATACATGTTGATACAAGAAAAAGCTTGCACTGTTTTTGTCTATGAAATAAGTAAATATGACTAAAATTAAAGATCAAACATGAAACAGTTGAATATATATACCGTTGAATTAGTATAATAGGATGGGAGAATTGGCTGTATACATGAATTAGCAAAAAATGTAATAGATTACTATTTGATACGATGGAAACATGGAAAAGCTCAAGAACTGATATCAAGGCTTAAACCAAAAACCCATAAATCTTTCTATATCTAAAAGGTAACATGATAACGCCCACAACAACCAGAAATAATTGCAACAAACAAGGATACCCAATATAAGCTACCAAAAATCACTCCACTATAGCAAACCACAGTTTCCACCAATTATCAACAGATTTATATGTAGAGAGAGGCCTAAATTGAGGACAAAATTTTCCAAGAAAATAAAAAGGATATATTCATAATATCATCAATCATTAAAAACATTTTACAAAAGCTAACAGAGATTTAGTGTATACTAGAGTTGTAGAGCTCATAGCCAAATCTCATAAAAAATCAATTGGCTAGATCAGATATGCACATGACAAATGAAGACTACAACAGAAATAATACCAGCTAACAATTTGAATCGTACAAATATAACAAAAACCCATAACCCTGAATGCGGATAGGAAAAATTTAAATGATCAACCTGTAAAAATCGCAGAAAATAAGACATACCCAGGTACCTGAATGAATAAAGAAACACGAATACAAGCAAAACCAGCCATGCCGAACAAAACCCATAATGATTTTAAAATAACCCCAAACCCCAAATTCAAAGCAAAAAACACAAAAAATGAAGAAAAACTATATATTTATCATTAATCACATTAAATCTCACCGGGCGGCCATCGATAACATGTCTCTCTTGAAGAACCCGATCCAAAATGTTCGGATCTGTAAATACAACAAACCCAAATCCTCTAGGTTTGCCCGAGATCTTATCTCTCATCACTACAGTCTGCAAAACCTCACCATACCCTTGAAAATACTCCTTGAGCTTTTCCTCATCTGTCTCCCATGATATCCCTCCAATAAAAAGCTTTCCTTGATCCGAATCCATGTGTAAATATATGTATATGTATATATAGATTGAGCGATTCTCTCACTCTCTTTGTGAAAAAACGAGGGTTTGAGAGTGTGTGTCTGCAGACGGCGGAGCTGGGTCGTGATAGGTAGACAGATTTATGTGTGCAGTGTAAAAAGTTAGGGGTTTAGATTGGCTGGGTAGGACGCGGGATTGGGAATGGACGGTTGAGATTGGGTGAGTGGGATATTTTGCTTGGGTGGGTCTGAGGTGTACTACGTATGGTGACTATATTACTACTATTTATTTTAATTTGTATGCAATAATTTTTTTTTAAAATTTTTTTATTGTACTTTGAATTTGTTTGAGGTAGATTTTTAATAATTTAATATAAAAGTTTTATTTAGTCCTTGTTTTAGCCACATTCTTTCAAAAAGTTATTTTTTCAAAATTAATTTTCAATCACGTATTCTTTAATAAAATAATATTGCACGAAAATATAAAATTTTTCTTTAATTTTTAACTACATATTATCCATTAATTTACTATTCAAAATACATTATTTCCCTCAAAACGGGAATTAAACGAGGCTTTAGCATGTTGATTACCAAGTCTAAAAAATTATGAATTTTTTTGTAAATTATTTTATTGAAAGAATGTATGATTGAAAATAAGTTTAAAAATAAATAAATATTAAAAAATCTGGATCAAATGTGTGCTTATTTCTTTTGAGTGATCACTGGTAGGCTTGTGCAAGCTTAGCTCATGCTCGGTTCGTTTTACAGAGAGCTCGAGAATGAGTCGAGTCAAGCTTAGCACTTAGAGCTCGTGGACTTTGCAAGTTGACTAGCAAGGTGGTTCCAGAGTTTTTTTAATCTTATATGTAATTTTATTTCATTTATTGGAAAAATTGAAAAATGGGGATCAAAATCTTGCTCAAATGATAAGAATGAAGTATTATCAGATCAAACTCGAGCTAGAATTTCATTTGAGAAACTGTAAAGTTGTCGAAAAGCTCATAGGTTGGGTTGGCTCTATCAATTGCCTACTAGTTACAAATTGAGGGGTTCTTAAGTTTATAAAATTTAATCTCAATAATGGTTAAGAAAAAAAAAATTCTCTTCACTATTTAGCAATGAGTAACTAACTAACGTTGTGGATGAGAGGATTTAAATGGGGTACAAACCTATAGATTCGTGCTACAAAAATTCGTTTTTCCTCAAATTTATTTTTAATAAAATATTTTTACACATAATTATTTTTTTATTTTTTTACCGTTACTCTTTCAAAAATGGTGTTCAAACGCACCTTAAAAAGAATTATTTTTTGTACTTTTAATAGAGAACCAAATGGTACGGTCAGATTCTTGATTCTTCATGTTAAAATGGACAGTTCTCAAATTTTAAACAATTTTCGTCTCGAGTTGAGGATAGAAAGCACATTGACCATCTCCACGGTACATATTATCTTGAAAAAGAACTATTATAATGTTAGAAATATCACACAACTTGGCAACAGAAAGGATGAGAATCAAAAGAGTGATAAGGAGACCAGAAAATTTTAGAGTAATAAGTTTGTCAAATTTAAACCAATGGATAAACGCAAAGTTGTTAATTTGTTATTTGACAGTTGTTATCTATTTTTTTTGTGTATAAACACTAACTACAATGATAATGGAGAGTTGTTGAACTTATTTTATAATCAAGTCTTTTATTCATTTTTAAAGTTCTTTTCATATTTTCTTCTTATAAATCAATATAATGATCATCGATCCACATGCTATATCCATGAAAAACCTAAGGAAGTAAAATTTCTCCATTATACCATTACGATTCTCACCATAATCTCTATGTTCCAAAATGAACCCATTGCTCTTCATAATACAGCAATTGAATGTGATCCTAATTATCCAATCAATCAGTATCTAGTCTCCTTAGTGAGAGCAAAATCACGAAAACATGACAACACTACTGAAAAATACAATCAAATGATAAAAGTAGACACAACGAATTTTTGCACAGATTTCCATCCAAAAGTATATGCGCTGCTCATTTTTCCCAAACTCATTAAGTTGCCTGTCCAAAATTTAAAGATTTAGAACATATTTACACTTTTTTCAAAGGAATTTGATGGTTGTGTACAACCCCCCCTCAGAAAAAAGGGGGGCTTGCATCCAATAAAAAAATCGCAGCCCCCCTCTTGTGAGAGATGCTGTACACTGAACTTGACAGCTCAATGTACGAGTAGCAAAACCCTCTTTCAAAAGGTTAGAATCGGAATCACAATACAACTTTCTATATTTAATTTTTTTTTAACATAATCATAAATTCAACTCAGCCTACCTAAAGATGGGGTTAGGACCCCAATAGGCCACAAAGAAATTTAGCCACCACAAAACACGAGCCTACCAAGTTCGTAAGGCAATTTCCTGAGTAGGGGCGGAGCTAGAAGAGTAGAGTTATAAGAGAAAATTTCACAAAATTTTAATTATGGGGACAAAATTAAAAATTATAAGAAACTTTTTTGAAAATTTTGTATAAAATCTATTACAAAATCTTGGATTTCATTTTTAGTGTGGGGGCAACGGACCCTATTGTAGATCCGTCCATGGTCCTAAGCATCTTAGAAGGATCCAGCAATGGACCCTATTGTAGATCCGTCCATGGTCGGGCCCGATTTTTTCACCCAAAAAATTGATTTTTTGACCGTTATTTCACTATTTCAGCCGTCATATTTGATTTCTCTCTCACAGGTGAACCCCACTTTTCTCCTAACGGTCAAAAAATCAATTCTCAAAATCACTACCAAACTGGCTCTAAAAGTTATTTTTTTAAGTAGATAAAGGGACTCATAATTATCACATAAAATCCACAATTTTTAACTTTTTGAGTCACATAACCCAGTACTTATAAGCATGCCCAAACATGAGCTAAATAAAATTTTTAATTTATTCTCTAATGTATGCCGTCAATATTTCACAAAATCACGTGTGAACACGGTGACCCATATATAAATTTGAACTAACATTACGTGTTGAGAAAAATCACATGAAAAATCCAAAGCCAACCAAGTGATGTGTGGCTCTCAACATGCCTCCTCATACCACTCTTCAATACTCCACAAAAGACAAGAAAATCAAATCTTTTAACACAAATTCTAACATTTTCTTCAAACACAAAAGGATTTCCTCAGTATCTACTTCTTGTGGTTCCAATGGCTACTTCAATTTCTGCTACTGGATTCAAAGGGGGTCTTTCTTCTTCTTTCCATGGAAGTTGGGGAACTTCCATTGCCGGTGAAGCCGTGGCGGCGCCGCCGACCAACTTTCGGGTTGCACGGCCCATCCGATCAATGCCTATGATGAAAAATGTTAATGAGGGAAAGGGTCTTTTTGCTCCACTTGTTGTGATCACAAGGAACATTATAGGCAAGAAGAGGTTCAATCAGCTCAGAGGCAAAGCCATTGCTTTACACTCGCAGGTACTTCTGTTAATGATTGTACATTATACTTCACAAGATTATAAACAAAGATGATGATGAGGCGTCGACCAAGTATCTTTAATTTCTCCATGCTTGTTCAAAGTTCGAGTATGCTAACACTTTCATCTGCATTGAAATGTGTAGGTAATCACTGAGTTTTGCAAATCAATAGGAGCAGATTCTAAACAAAGGCAAGGACTAATTCGACTAGCAAAGAAAAATGGAGAGAGACTTGGATTCCTTGCATGAATGGCAGAATGGACATCATTGTAATGTATTTATTTCACCCGAAAGAGACACTTTAGATTATTATTATGTATTAAGAATATGTAGAAAAAAGTAAACCTTCATTTGAGTTTGCTTTTGAATTAGTAGAATAGATTGAAACCAAATTTCTTGAAATGCTCTACAGAAACTATAATGCCAAATCTAACCTTTTGATTTCCATGTTTCTACCCTCAACCATCATAACTAATATTAGGGCCAGACAAATTTCCCTCTAAGATAAACAAAACATATCAGAATCCTTTCTCTCTAATGGAACTTAATATCTTCATATTAAAGCTTGAGACGGCAAACCCAGTTCCATCAAGAGAAGAAAGTAGTGGAATCGGTGCATTTAATTATTTAGTTCGAGTCATCTGGAAAAGGAGATGTGCCCAAACCGTTATATCTTATGTATTGTCTACTTTGAGAAAGTCTAAGCCCATCTTACCCTTCACAACCTTCTGTAGCATCCCCAGGAATCGATTGTTTGGTCACAGGCCCTGATCATTACAGTATGCATATCTGACCATCAAGAGGTAACAAACTATTTTGAAGAGGCGAAAAAGGCTTAATGGGTGTCAGACTATCTACACAGCTTGTTATAATTGCTCATTGTCTTCAAGTTTACTTCAAGTATAAAAGCTATTTCTTCAAACTTTTTTTGCATTATCATTTTTACGGGATTACTATTCATAATTCATTCATTGAGGACATTCACATCTAACAGAGTACTCAAGCATCAATGGTCCTACAAGATTATAATTTGCATCTGGCCTTTTAAACTGCCTCATAAAATGGTATTAAAAGAGATTCAAGGCAACAGCAAAAATAAGTGTCATTACCAATAAACTATGGAACTACATGAAAAATTTTCCGATATTCGATTCTATTTAGAACACCTATAGTGAAACATCCCATCAGACCAAGTCCACTTCAGTTCATGGAAATTTTGAAATTAGAAACCAAGCCTCTGTTTTTCCAAAGCAAGAGCCACCAACACTGATATGCAGTTTACTTTAAAAAACCACAATAAAGTACTCTGGCAGAACATTTGCTTGCCCCTAAATAGAAGTACAATTTCTACATATGGTCGTCATATGATGATAAAATGTTTGTTGATTCCTTCAGCTGTTTTACTTCTAGCATCATTAATTTTTAATTTTTATACTGGAAAAATGAAATATAATAGTGAAATCATTAGTTCAAACAAAAATCAAAGCCTTTCTACAAATTTATGCATCAATGATTTATCTACGAAAAAATGATTCTAGCTTCTGAGCAAAACCATAATTCCTAACATATAAACACAAAACTGTTCAGTGAATATAAAAGTGAAAACAGTTGAAACAAAGTTCATACAGAGGAGAAGTTGACTTGAAATGAAGAAGAAAAAGTATGCTCACATGACATGACAAACCCACATAAATGAGAACATGTTTGTAGTCATTTACAGATTTGAGGGACAATATATTTAATTATAAATAGTAAGTAAAAGGAAAAAGCGCACTTTAATCAAAATTAAACAATTTGATTCCATCAAGATAAATAAATCTCAATTATAATAGTTAATATTGTAACCAGCTTCATTATGTTTGAGCATTCTTGTCTCTTTGATGGGATGTTTCAATTGCCGAATGTGTAGCTTTGTGCAGCCATATCTGCACAAAGGAACTAGAACTTCCAGCCCGTGGTCGAAAGACCCCTCTGATGTCTGAGTGCTCCCAAAAAGTCAGTTGTCGGTTTGGCCATTAAACAAAATGTATCATATCTTATGGCTGATGATTGTGATGGATACCTCATTAAGGCCACCTCTTGCGACTGCATGGAGTTTTGTAATGGTGTTGGAACAAAATTATAACCTGCCAGGTCTAGTGGTTATGGTGCAGCATTAGTGCTATCACAAATTTAGTTCATGAGCTATGACAAAGAGCGAGCATTTTGGACTGATAGAGCACTTCTGATAAATAGAGTCAGCAAAAACCAACCTTCTTCCCCATGGGACTCAAAGTAGAGCAGAAGACTTGAGATATCCAAAAAAGAAAGTTTACCACACAGTTGAAATTTAATTGGGGCTTGCAGACTTGGCCTCCTTGTAACATTTTCAGATTGTTGAATACTTCTATTATGGTATGTTGAGATTATCTCACATCGGTTGTTGAAGAGGCTGGCGGTCACTTTATAAGTGTGAGGGAGAGCCTCACATTTTGAGCTAACTTTTGGTCTTAAGAAGGCCCAACACCACCCAACACTGATGTCAAAGCTCCCCAAGTTATCAACAAGTCTCAATCCAACGGCTCACAGGAGATACAAGTTTGCTCCCACCCAGAGCCCGATGTGTGAGGGAAATATTGTTGAGGTTATCCCACATGGGTTGTGGAAGGGACTCGTGGCCAATTTATAATGTGAGGAAAAGTCTCACCTTTTGAATTAGCTTTTGGGATTGAGAAGACTAAAAACCACCCAACATAGTAGTCTTAGTTGCTCGCAGACATAAAAAAAAAAAAAATACAAGAAATGACAAATTGACCATCAATCTCCTATCTCAATTAAAATGTATTTAGCATCTATCTCGTCCACATACAAGGTTGGGTTTGTGAGGTCAGCTCGGTCTTGTGGCCGCCATAATTTCACCAAAGATAAGATTGCATATTCCTTACACCTTGTCAATTCACCCAATCAGTCATACACACTTGGAAGAAGTGACGTCAACACCGCCCAAAACCACCAATTAACCCCTATAACTATTTATCTTGAAGTAGGTCGTGATTTTCTGATAAAGAGGGAATAATTACGATTTGATCGGAGTCGACCTAATTAGCCAATCAAAAATGAGATCGGCGGCACACAAACTAAGCTCGACTTTATGATGGATCTAATTGAGAAGACATAAATTCCAAGAGAACTAGACCTAATTCTCTCTATAAATTGAAAGGGATGGTCCATCCAAAAGGGGGGAGGCCCATCGAAAACAATCCACTCCCATAAACAAGAGCAACAGCACATTTGTACTCTTCTCTATCAATAAAAAGTTTTCTTTCCCTAAAAAGTTGGCTCAAAACTGTGCTTAGCATTTTTTTACGTCAACAACAAACATCAATCTAAAATTGCTTTAACAGAATTCCTCAAAACATTAATCTCAAATTGCACTAAACCTTATTTATTGATAGAGAACCAAAAAAATTCAAGCTCTTCCATTTCTTTTGATATCTGAATTGCTTGCAAATATTGCAAAATAAACACGGGAAATCACAAAAAAAATGTTGGGGAAACATAAGAAAGAAGTATAACCAAACTTCAATGGTGCAACATTAGTGCTATTACAGATTTCATTCGTAAGCTTTAACAAAGAGTTACCATCTTGGAATGATAGAACACTTCTGCTAAATAAAGTCAACCAAAACATTCTTTCTTCCCCGTGGAACTCAAAGCGTAGTAGGAGCCTTTAGAAATGAAAAAAGAACAAATTATTGGACAGGTGACGTTTCATTGGGGCTTGCATGCGTGGCCTCCTTGTAACATTTTCTTATTGTCGAATATTTCTACCATGATAGTATGAATTGCTTGCAGACATCACAAAATAAATTGAAGAAATCACCAAAAAACTGCAGGGAAAAGATAAGAAAGAAGTAGAGGTGCGAGTCTCTAGCATGTGCTTTACAAAAATCAGTTCTACCTTGTGCACTCTTCGTCCATCCTTCCAGCTTGCACCTTTTTCCACCACCATGCTGAACACAATAGTTGGCTCGCCCTCTTGCAGTCTTAATACACTTAAGTTAAGTTCCCACATGCTCACTCTCTGTGCACCCTTTAAATTGACATCCTTTGCCCCAGCCATAGCCTTTTACAGAATGAAGTGCTTCCTTCTGCAATTTTCGTGCACCCCAAAAACGTGCAACTTCTGTGCACCACTGCGAGCTTTACAGATCATTGTACTCCCTTGACTACCAAGGATATTGGCATCAACGGCCACCTCCATGGGGTATGCAGAGACCAGAAATGCCCTCAGCATTCTTAGTGCAATTTTCAATCTTGCACTTATTGCCGCCCCCATGACGAATACAAAATCCCTTCTTCCCTCTTTCTGCATGTCACGAGGGCAACCCTCGTGAGCGCAACGCCTACCACCTGTATGCGCTATACAGTAATTTTACTTACTTCCTCCTCAAATGAGCAAATCTAGGTTGGTTGCAATTTTACTTCGGAAGTTGCGGTCAAGTTTGATTGTTGAACTGACTCATCTAAAAGTTTAAGCTATTAGGGAGGAGAAACTTATTTATATAATTAAATTCAGTCTTCGTAACACTCCTTCACGGTGATGCTGTCACGTTGAGGGTGCATGCCTGAAATGCTCACAATACATGGGTGGCAGCTGGATTTGAGGACCTTGCTTTCTCCAATATTATGTTGAAACTTTTTATCTAAAAGCTTAAACTATTAGAGAAAGATGACACATTTATAGTCTTTAAGAAGTACTTTAAAAATCATTAGGCTGATGATTCATGTCGTCTGATTATATTTTACAATTCGGCCCAGTTACCAAAAAAAAAAAAAAGGATTCGGATATGCATTTGACATACAATACCGTTAGGCTCTTGCTGATAAACTTGATAAACTCAATCTAAAACATCACGAGGCCCAGGAAATAATAGGTCCAAAAATGCTCGGCTCATGTTTTATTTGGTTCACCAATTATTTTTTGTTCTTCCCAAAAAGAGATGCACGAACATATAAAAGCCTTTACTCAGCTGTTTTGAGGATTAATTTCCATATTCTGTCAGAAACAGTGATATATTTTATTTGTTTCTCCTGTAGGTTGTATAAATGTGATGTGGTGAAAATCAAATCTATTCTTGAAGCTGAACTCTATCAGCAGTCCCTTATGACTGCCATTGAGCGTATTCAACTGTCAAAAGTGAGTATAACCCTGTTCCCTAGAACTTTTCCCAAATAAAGTTCTAAATTTTAAACTAAAGAATACCCCCAAAACATGCAGAAGCTTTCATATTTCTATTCTTTATGTTTGTTTTTGTCACTCCCTCCTCAAGTATGAATATTGGGACTTGCAGGCTTGGCCTCCTTGTAACATTTTATGATTGTTGAATACTTCTATTTAGATGGTGTGAATTGCTTGCAGA